ACTACAGACAGACCCGAACTGTTCAGCAGCAGCTCGTCCAAGCAGTGTGTTCATTTGGCTGCAGCCACACTTGGAATTTTTGCTGCCACAAATAAAAACTGTCACCAGCGTACGTACTCGCGCAACCCGAATATAGACGCTCGACCGTTCTGACATGTTGCTACTGTGGCTGTAATCGCTTGTGGCCAGTCTGTCAGCCAGCGCCGGAGAGCTGTGACTCGATTAAATTTTCTGGTATGCAAATGATTTAACATGATGATGATGCACATTATATTTTTGCAGATCTAACTCAGTGACATTTTTACTGAATGCAGAATATCTGCTGCTTTAGTGTCAGCGAGGTCCACGTGAAGCGAAGCTCTGCAGGCAGAAACCTTATAAAAGACATCCTGCTTCTTTAAAGGCAGAACGAATCCAATTAAGCGGGACTGCCTCTGAATGAATCTATCAGCAGCCCCATCTTCTCGATCGGCCAGAGACTGAATTACACTGATCACGTTAGGAGTTCAGCCACTGCCATTTCAATTAATCCCGCAGCAAAGACCGAGATTCCAAGAACTCAGTATTCTGGAAAACACAGCGGTTTCCACTGACCTCAGCTTCATTAGCAAATCTGAAAACATCGAGGCTCGGGCTATAACGCTTTGCTCTGGGCGGGCAGCGTGAAACTGAGCGGCGAACAGGAGAGCGGATGAGATAAATGAAAGGCACGTGGTCACAACATGCCACCTTTTCCATGTCAAATCTCTGCGATCTTCAGTGGGTGAAATTACAGATTCCTTATTACACACAGTCAACCGTCATCCATCCACTTTATTCTAGAAAATCGTAATGTGGAGCTATTATTTATTATCTGTAACATGCTGCTTAACAAAGGTTCTAATTACATAAAAACTGAATCATTCATAATAAAGTTGGAGCAGGTTTCCAGGTAAAACAGTAAACCTGCTGCTGGGAAACAACGGGGGTGTTGGCAGGTATGATGACTGAAATGCTAAAGCCAGAAAATGTTGATTAAACAATGATTAAGTCATTTCAAGCAAACACCCAGCTTGAAGCTCACAGACGCACTCGGATTACGCTGCTTTTTATTTAGTTTCACCTAAAAAGTAGCCAAGAACAGAGAACCAAGCACATTTGTAGAGGAGCCTCTGATTGTGATGATTTATAGAATTAATACAGAACTATATAATCATAATATTTTACATAACTGTGAACTAGTTTTATAAGAATCTTTTCGAGCGGAGCTCAGACTGTGACCTTCCTCAGAGATGAAAAGCTACAAATCCAAGTCGACTGTGGGTGAAATATCTGCAAAGTTAAATGTCAGCAAAATGTCTAAAAATGTTAATGCAGAATAAGAGCAGAGAGAAAACTGCCAAAGGAATAAAAGAGAGGGACATTTTGAAGGTAGTTAGTTGTGACTGAAATTCAGGTTTTGATTTCCTGGTTTAGCGGTTTCCAACCCGGCACGCCGCTCAGATCAAGAGGATCTGACAGGAGAAAGATTTAAAACCACAATATGAAAGAAGACTTGATGCGACGCATGAAAGTCCTCACATCTGACTTCTGATGTCTGATCTGACTGAAATTTGATGCAACACATCAAAGTTTATTTATGCATCTGTCACAAAGCATCTCAGATGTCACATCTTACATTATAATGAAGTCTAAGATCAGGACTCAGTCAAATACAGTTTGTAACCAGACTTTCAAAGGCAGGGATTACGCTCTCTGCTGATGTGGACTGGGAGGTTAACTTTCATTTGTCTGTGGCTTTTACATCAGTTTTACTTCTGTAATAGCTCACGTGTGTTCCTCACACTCCAGACATGCCACACATCTATTACAGGATCATTTTCAACAATCTTCATGTTATTCAGACTGCATCGGGGTACGAGTTACTGGAAAACTCAAACAACATTTCTAAACTCCTCCCCATCCAGCATGAAAGCATCTGATCTGCACTGACAGGAAACATGTTTCTTTTAATAGAAAAGAAGAAAACAGAACACAGAACATAAAAAACGAATGCAAAATTCACACAATGCAAAAATTACATTTAAACTAATCACAGGCAAACACTTCGCAGTAACAAATAAGTGAGATACAACAACTAAAAGGCTGAACTGAAGTGACACCTGAGGTGTGCCGACAGGCGGGCCGTGAGTCTCGAGCAGATCTGGTCTAATCTCCAAGACCTTTTGGAAAAAGCAGATTTTCAACAAATTGCTCCTGGGTGGCTGGAAGATGTTGGTCTTTCAGGATATTTTTAAAATGCTCAGTAAGCACAAGCTGACAAATCACTTATCAAACCAGTTATGACCATAAGGCTTAGAAATCGTGGACTGGTTTTAGATATGTGCACAAGCACAGCAATAAAAGACCCAAAGAGAATAAAAGAAAGCGCCTCCATTGTTTCCAGGCTTGTATCTGAACGTATGTGAAGAGCACCTGTGGCATCAGCCATCAGAGCCGTGCAGAGCTCCTGTAACAAATGACTTCAGTCTCTCACGCGTGCTGTTTGGATGAGCGCTGCAACCTATAATCTGGCACAATCATGCATTCAGAGAGTGTATCCTGATATATCCTTGCCTGCTACAAGCAATGACCTGCATTACACTCTGTCTGAAAGCCACTACTATAACCAATATCACAGCCTGCAGCAGGGAAATCGAAGTGCTGCCTGCCATCAACTCCTCACTCGCTGAGAAAACCGTTTGACTCCAAGCTTGGCTCTAAAAGGAAAGCTTTAAGCATCAGACTGCTGTTGGAGCTACATTTAGTTAGCAGACATGCACATCAGTGAGAGCCCTCATAAAGGGTGTACCGCAGGCAGGGACTTAATTGAGCGTGAAAGGCAGCGGATGACCTCTGGTGCTTCAGCGCTGCCGCCAATCAAACATCTGCCAGCCTGAAGCGGAAGGACGACCGCCCGCTACCCAAACACGCACACGCAGTCCTTCATGCTCAGCTTCATCTGGGAACACAGGCCGAAGCAGCTTCAGATACAAGTGGATTAACTTCGTGAACTCTGCGCTGGTTAACGAGTAAATGTGAGGCAGCTGATCGAGTCGGCCATGTTTGAGAGATCTCGTTTACAAATGGATGCCATCAGCCCAGAAAGACTTCCTGTGACCAATCAAACTGTTGTTTTAGCTTTAAAAAAAAAAATGCTGTTTTTATTTGGTTCTTGTCATTTTTTTTAAACCATTGATGAGCTAACCAAGCAACTGTTAAGTACTAACGTGTGCAACAAACAACGGCAGTCTTATATTGTAAAGACCCTGCAGCGTTAATCAGACGAGCCAATGAGCTGCAAACCAGGAGAGCTCTGAAGAGGAAAAGTAGAAAACTTTCATGCAAAAATCTTTTTGCATGAAACAGTTTTTGCCATTTATGCCTCCAAACTTTGAACAGCCAACATCACAACACGAGGGAAGGAAACACTACGGCTAATTGAGCCACACGATTTGAATCCAAATCAGGATTCTGGCTTCATACAATTTAATGAACACGACCTCATACTGCACCGCGCAGCTCCAAGTTTCCTGGAAATAGTCGGGATGAGTAACAGTGTGTTAAGAGACAGATACACAACTGACACCAGACGATGAGAACAAAAATTCAAACATCTGGCACAGCAGAACGTGACGAGCTTGTTCCCAGAAGAACGTCGTCATCTGTTCTTTGCAAGTACTTCAGATTTAGCATAAGTGATGAATACCTGTAGAGCTGTGTCTATGACACAAAGCAACGTAACTGACTTAATGAGCTGCCAGCAAACACAGCACAAACTGCAGTATTATTAATGCGTGACGACAAAGTAAAACAGGTCAGTGGCTGCGAACATGAATCGCCCAACGCCAGCTCAGACGTCCATGAAAGCGAGCGTGCGCTCTGTCCATCTCACCCGAATCTCCAGCCAGTCGTGTTCCCCTTGGCAAAAGGTGAGAGTGCAATAAACACAGTGAGCACCGAAGGCTTCAGGTAAACGTGATGTCGGCCAGATGTTGACTTCATTTCCTGTTGTTTTTTATGCTCTTCTCAGCGGTGCACTGAATTTAGGTGAATGAGGAACAGGTTTTTTTTGATGCAAAGATTTGCACTATGCATAAAACTCAAAGCATAATCCTGATAAATAACCTGATAAATATCATTGTGGTCATAACTGCACCCGTAACAGATAACTCCCCGGAAATGTTCTAACAGCTGGAACCAAACTGCAGCAGCTTATTCCCAGAACCTCACGTGGGATGCTGAGATTTCTCTCACTTCTCGCTTGTTTTGTGTCTCCTGCATAAAAGCAAAGTTGAGCCAATCAGCTCCAGCTCCAGCGAGCTCCTCCTCCATTTCTGAAAGTCGGCGACGTCGGACGAGCCGATGGGTTTTCGACATCCTGCGAGAAACCGTCACTCAGGTTTATCGCTGCTTTTTGGCTGCTGTGAAAATAATTTCCGAACTTTTGGGATTAATAAGCCACAACTTTTGTATTTCATGGTGTAACTCAGCTCTTCCCCTCTCTAGAGTTTTCTGTATGTTTGAGCATTTTAATATGTTCATACATCTAAGTAGCTCTTTGAATGGCTGCCCATACTTATTTATACATGACACAGCAATAAGAGAATCTAGCACTCACATTTGTACAGGCACAAATCCTACAGACACACACCCATGCATGCGTGCACGCACACACACACCGTCTGCAGCTGCTGAGGCGACTGTGAGCTTCGATTCAAAAACAAAAGCAGTCAGAAAGCGTCAGGATCCCTCACAACATGAAATCTGTGCATTCGCCACCATTGGTCTCGAGGCACGTCAGTCAATGAGCACCGGCAGCTGATTGGACGACCGAGACGAGCAGATCGATGGCCGCTGCCACGCAGGCTTCATCCCAGAGACCTGGACTCTGTCAGCCTCTCTCACTGTGCCAATGTCTCTCACACACAGACACCCTCACACACAGGAGAGGCATTGCTTATTAAAAAGAAGCTCCCTACCCGACTCGTTGTTCTCTGAATCCATCTTGTTGGAGGCGACGCAGAGGACGGCCTGCCAGGTGGACCTCGACTCCACAGTCTCTCTCTCCCTCTCCTTTTTTGTTTCCAGCCTCGCTCGCTCGCTCCCTCTCTCCTCCCCCCTCCTCACATGCTGACACTCACCACTGACCTTGCAGTGCTCGTTTCCCCTCGCCGCCGGCAGCGGCAGAGTAGCAGCAGCTCAGCTAAACGCCGCAGGTGAAGCTGCAACGCTGCAGAGTGGCTCCAAAAAACCACGTCGGTATCATTCCCCCACCGACGGCTGAGGGGAAAGGATGCTAAAACACACACACAGATGCACACACACTCTGGAGAGATGACATAATGAGCGTGTGTGTTCTGGCTTTGTGCGTGTGCGGGGTCGACGGTGTTTTAATCGTCCTGATTGGAGAGTAATTACTGTACGCAGATTTGTTGAGAGACTGCTGCTGAAGGAATTTGGCGTTTTTAAAAATGTGTGTGAGCATGTGCATTTACATCTGTGTGAGTGTGTGTGGGTCTCTGCGATTGTGTAACTGGGGACTAATTTTAGTTGAAGACCTTGAACACGAGGACGTTTCTCAGAAGTGAAGAACATTTCAGAAAGCTGGTGCGATTCAAAGAGAGACGACATTCAGAGCCAGGTTTTCTCTTTCACGATGATCTGCTCTTTGAACAGATCCTCACTGTTACCCTCCCGCTGTGACCGGCCCCACGGCGCTCAAGGACGACGTCTAAATGTGGACATTTGGCTGCAACCTCAGCTCCGAATGTTGAGCACAAACATGAATCGATGCTGGTTCAGGCGGTGCTGGAACCGCAGGCACGGGAGCGTTAAAAAGATGACAAGAGGACGGTTTCTCTAACAGATATTGATCCTAAACACACCTCAACATTCACAACAAGAGGCACAAACTGAAGGTTTCATCACAGCTAGCAGGAATCAAACGCAAAAAGTCGAAACCTCGTGCAGGACAAATGTGGGAAACTGCCCCAAACAAGAACTCAGAGACTCTCGGCTCCCCAGAAAACCTCGACGAGTTTTCACACCTGCCAGAGAGCCGTCACCAAGACCGCTGTCACACAGGCCTAGAGACTGGCTGCCAACCACCTGGCAAATACCTGGAAACCACTTGGCAACCAGCGGTCGCTAGGAAAATTGAACCCTATAAAATCCTTGACCAGCTTTGACGCCTGCCAAACGGCTGCTAGTGCTCGGGGTTAAAAATAATAATCTGGATTTAGAAACATGCTTAATAAGTTCGCTGCTGTGGCACAAAATGAGGTTTTAAAAAGATGTTTTCATCTATGCTAGTGAGCAAACTTATGGATTTATTCAGTCTGTTTTTAAAACAGTTCACGTTTCAGTCCAAACAGAAGGTCAGCCAAGTTGCACTTTCAATTTCAGAGGGTTAGTGTAGACATGGTCTCGGGTTCAAGGTTAGATAGCGGAGAAACGCTTGATGTCGGGTCCTCGCGAGTGTGGAGCAGCTCGGTGCGTAACGGCCACAGATGGCTGCTGCAGATACCGTCATACCTCACACAGTCAGGCGGCTCAGGCTCTAATTTTAGAGTCAGACTGAGCTGAAAACACTCCAGACAGGCACAAATCACAGCAGCGCTCGGTCTTTTAAAATTACCTAAAACTTTTATCGCAGGGCTCTGTTTCCTGAACCGCAGCATAGTTCAAAAAATGCAATATCAGGACTAAATGGAGGGGACAGGACCAGATTTTATTCTGTTAGAGCAGCAAAAAAACAACCAAAACAAGAATAACTGGTCAATTATTGAATGAACAGGGAAGGACACAGCTTCCACTTCCACTCTTATATAAACATACAGGCTGCAAAATTTAATCTGACAGAAACTGTTAAAAATAATCTCCAAATAAACATTTTCCATTAAGTCGCCTTTATTTTGCTCAGACATTTGCCAGAAAACACTCAAAGCTTCAGTTACTGTTTCCTGCTGCTGCTACTTTTTGAAATATTTACATATTATATTTGCTACATTTTATTAAAGTAGATTTTGTTTTTCGTTTTTGTATTTACTACTTGTGAGAGACAAACAAAACTTTATTGTTCCTGAATTTACTGAGATGATTCTAATTAGGGCTGCCACAAACGATTATTTTGATAGTCGACTAGTCACCGATTATTTTTGTGATTAGTCGACTAATCAGATCATCATCCATTGGACATACAGCTTAGTGCACCAGCAGCATCTGCTCTTATATAACTATCATTAGCTTACAGCTTGAAGTGTTTCAGGTGCTAACTAAAAATAAAGACAAGATGATAGTTCATTAGATTTTAATGAAATTTGCAGATTGTTTCGGTAAAGTTTAATAAACTCCTTGCTATCTAAAATATAACAGGACACCGGAGTATATTCTCCAGCATCTCACACTTCTGATGATCAGCTGTCTGCTTGACGTTTATTCAGCTGTGTAAAAACTATAACTTTAATCTCAGCCAACCCGATTTACTCAGGAACAAATAAAATACAAAAAAAAGCCAATTTTTTAAGTTATCTAAGTGACTTATGTATGTTTTACCTGAGTAGAGAAAGACGGCGGTGGGTTTGAAAACGATTTGCCGGGAGTCCGGTGTTCTCACGGTGCTAGTGACCTAGCCCCCGGCTAGCTATCGAGCTGGTGGGTAACAAACGTCTCCGAAAACATCGGAGCGCTTTTGCAAATATGTGGTGTCTTGATAAACTGAGCCGATATTTGAGGTTTACACAGCTACATTCTCCCTGAAAATATGTTAAAAGTTTTTTTGTGACCCAGAAAGAATAATAAGAGTAACATTAAAACTAACTAGCTGCCGCCATTGTTGGAAACTGAGCTGGGCCGCGCTATGAATTCTGGGATAGGTTGGGCCCCTAAGTATACACCTGACCCATCCTTCAAATCTGGGGAAACGAAGGGCGCATTTGTCGGAGTCTATAAATTTGGACAGTATTCGTTGTGTCGCTGTAACATAATCGGCCTACAAACGCGGGCACAGGAGGATGCGGTTCCAGAATTTGGACACAGCTACAATAGCAGACACAGCTTCTTCTTCTTCGAGGTTTAACGGCAGCTGGCATCCTTGTGCATGCAGTGCTGCCATCTTCTGTTTCAGTCCGTTATTACACTCTTAAATCCTGCTACTTATTCCTGCGTCTTTTGGGATCTTACAAAGCTTAAAACGACGCGTCGACTAATAAATCAGTCGTCGACAATTTTAATAGTCGACTAATCGTGGCAGCCCTAGTTCTGATGGTGTTTTATTAGCTTCTAGTTGTTTCTTAAATGAGCTTTTTATCAAACAGCTTCAAACCTAAAATAATAAAAATATGAACAGAATCTGAATACACACCAGCTGGGACGTGTGTGCAATGTATCTCAGAGAAGATGGAGTTGATAACGAAGCTCAGCTGCACAAAACCATTTTGAACCACAAGGTGCATCCAGTATATTCCATGTGAGTCGTGCACTCTTATTAAAGCTACTGTTAACTCAACAATTACATTAAATTCATGTTAATATGACACCTAGCCGAGAGAAACAGACTTGGTCTGAGGTCAACGTCTGTCAGCTATCTGCGATGAACAAAGACCAAAAGCTAAAAATTAGCGACGTTTGGACAGTTGGTGAATTTACGCCAGTTGACACAACGTGCTCCCTTGTGTCTACAGAGCTACGGTTAGGCTAATATAAAAATACCAAACGTCTGCGACGAGCCATCCACAGCACGAGCTTAGTTATCAACACATCGCTGATAGTTTTGGATAACGAAAAAGTCGTGATCGTGAGCTGAGCCGGCTCGAGAGCCATTCTTGGCTGACACGTTCAAACACCGTGAGCCCACAAAGCTCATTCGTACAGATGTGCATGGATCAAAGTCTCCCAGTTGTTGCGAGGTCCGTTTCTGCTTGACCTACAGCGCTAACCAGAAATGATAACAAAATGCTGACGACTGACCAGACCCCAATGACAAATCACATCACACAAAGTGAACCACTCTCTGAACCGTTACTAACATTCAACACATACATGATTTATTTAGTAGATTAACCTTTTTCTGACATCTGTTTGGTGTAAGATTAAGAATAGAGGTGTACAGAGGTATGAGTTCAGATAGCAGAGCACGCGATCAAGGCTCATGTTTACATACATTAGTCAGCAGATCACATGATCATCACCATACCTGCCACCTTCTTCTCTCTGTTCCATCATATGATGTTGCCCGTGTCTGTCAGTCCCTTCGTTGTTCTCCAGTAAGATAACTCGTTGTTAGTTTACATATGAACCCGCAGCTACTGGAAGCTTTTAAGGTGGAAATATTTCTTACATATTATTTCATTTAAGTGTTAAGTGCTGTCATGAATTTGAGTGATTTGTCCTTACTGACTCGCACGTATGTCATGAAGATGTGAATATTACAACTAACAACTAAACGTGATTTCTTCCTGTTTAAATTGGCGTAACAGTAAATTAGATGCTGGGTTCATCACTAGTTTGAGCAGCCAGAGGGTTTTTTTTAAGCCCCGCCCATGACCTTTTCCTACATCTGACCAAGTGAAGCCAAACATCAAACATCCAAGCAGGTCACTGCGTGGTGTTTGTAGACAGTGCTCATTTATGCAAAGCTTTAGTCACTTTGCTTATTCTAAAATAAGCAAAGTTTAGCTGTGTTTTTTTCCTCCTGCTCATTGTGTTCTGACATTCTTTCCACAGACTTCACAAACAGCCTCTCGCATCCAAAAAAGGACAGACTGCAGAGCCAGAGGGACCTCACAGCGAGCGTCTGGACCGCTACCGCGCGAGTTGCGTGTGCTCTGAAAACAAAACACCGAGAGAGGAACACGAGCGCGCCACGATGGACGGGTTGTGGTCTTTAGATACGACACTGTGTACCTTTCTAAACAACAATCTAACTGCAAAAAAAAATCTCTTTTAAAAACATGACGCTGAACTGAAAGGCAAGGTCTGGCAGCAAACAGCCATAAGGGAGCGATGTGGCAACTACAAGATTAAGCTGTGCCGTGAAGAAAACACTCTTCCTGTTTTCACAGCAAAGGTTAAAGGTTGGACTGACAGCAGCCTGAAATTCAGCCGGTCCATATCAAACATGCGGAGTTTAAATGTCAGCAGCCTCCTGATATGATGAGGTTCCCCCTCAGCTACAAAACCAAATACATTTTTATTCCACTAATAAATGTGAGAATATTTCCATCAAGCGACTGTACAGATGTGATCTGCTGATGATCCACAGGCTGCTTCCACACACCTGGCTGGAGAAATGAACGCTAGATGAATCAATCAGCTACGCAGCATACCCCGTCCCAACCCTGCGTTTGCGAGGAAGGCGTGACGAGTTTTTGATTTGTCAGCTAGAATGACCGTCGTCGTTGTCCCCTGATCTCCAAGACTTGGAAGAACAATTTAATAAAAACTAAATCTACTTATGATTAGAATCGAGATTAAAGTCGTGATCGATGGCGACCTCAGAGGGTTAACATCATGTGGAAGCTGCACAGTCATTTTATAGCATCTGCAGTGAAAACTGGAAGCTTTGCCCCCCGTTTGGCTGTTTTACATGCTGCTGTTGTCCTGACAGAGGACTGCGGCTCAACATCTCTGTACCGACACCTGTGATACTGACAGCGACGCGTGCAAACACCCGACTACAAAACAGACCAGAAGAAAGGTGCAAAACCCGTCCGAAAGTGCTGAAAAGCAGCGAGCTGGGCGTCAAACAACAAGCACAGAAAGATAAAAGCTTCCCCGTCTGCAAAGACGCAACCGGTGGGGGAAACAGAGCGAGGCGCATCTCCTTTGAAGTTATATTTAGGCCAAAATCCTCCTTTGCAGAACAAACCGTCTTCCACTGTGAATACAAATCACAGCCAACAACTGAGGGAGGAAGCGTCCTAAGAGCACAGGAACCGACGGCTCACGTACAATTAGCCAGCGGAGCATCAAAACAGCACGGGCCCGCTGGGTTTCTTTCACTGCGACTCCTCCTGCATCCTAAATACTCCCGTGTTCCACCGAGGACGCAAACGGGCGACCAGCTTCTCATCCGACACAACTTTGAAGATGTGAGCGGACGGAGGGCCCTCGCCGCAGGTGGTCCTGATCTATTTAGACGCTTTTACAACGGCGTAAGCACCGACAACGCAAATAAAAGTGCAACGCAAATGGAAATAAACCTTTAAATGTTTTTTTTTAATGGCAACCCTGCACACGCTAGCTGTGGCAGAAAAGAGGATTAAGTTATAGCACATCTATCATGTTAACCTTTATTCTGACACAGCTTGTAAAGTCTTCTGAACACTGCCTGATTTCTACTGATGATCTCTGAATGCGTCCTGCACTCTTCTCCGTTTCTTTCTTGGTCAAATGTTTCTCGATTCATTTTTTTTTCTTTAGGGGATGAAAATCAATTAGCAGCCTGCTAATTTTATATTGTGTAATCCATCACCGTACGCTGGTGTCTCATCTTCTGAAGGTTACATTATTGCTGTTGTTTATGATTGTTTTCATGATCAATTAATCTGCCAGATATTTTTCTCGATTAACTGATGATGATGATGATCTGCAGAAGATCAGAAAATGGCAACAAATCCCAACAGTCTCCTAAAGGCCGAAGTCGTCGATCATCTCAGGCCAATCGTGAGTATGTTTCATTAAGCCAGGCCGCACATCGAGAAGTCTGAACCATCGGATCAATCAAGGAATCAAGACTGGGCCCGCTACAAGCAAGCAGCTCAACAGCAAGGGAAAACCTGACCTTGTTTTTTCTTCAAATTAAAGAAAGAAACGTTGATCCCACCTGTAAATAACACAGGTGCTCCAACATTTCTTCTTATTTCTGATGTTTTTAAAGGTGTTCCAGTTCAGATTCCCTTTATAGCAGCTCTGATTTACAGCAGATTTGGTGATTCTTTTCATTCATGTTCAGAACAAAGCACCGAGCTTTTAGTAACCTTTATTTCTTTTTGCTGTCAGCTGCACCAGATCTCAAGAACTTCTATCACTCTCATTGAAGCAGTTCTCAAAATAAAGCTCCTCCAGCTTACTGCACGTGATGTTTTGTACATGATTTCCATTCATCCTGTGCCTCTTATGCCGAGTAATACTGCGGTTGTGTCCATTTGCAAAAGTGTTTACC